AAAGAAAGAAAGAAAGAGAAAAAACTAGCCAGGCATTGTGGCTGGATCTATTCCCCAGCTACTTGGGAGGGGAGGCTGAGGCAAGAGGATCTTCTGAGCCTTGGAGTTTGAGGTTGCTGTGAGCTATGATGCCACAGCACTCTACCAAGGGTGACAGAGTGAAACTGTGTCTTAAAAAAAAAAAAGTGCCTGTTCCCAGCAGGCCACCAGGCACATGTTCACGTTCTCAGTGGTTGTCTCCCTCTGTTGCCCTAGACTCTCTTAAGGCCAATTCCAGCCTCTCTAAGTCACCTGCCTGAATAACCAAATCAATCATTCTTTTTTTCCTGGGTCCTGGCCTCTTTTGAGAATGTGTTAAAAGCTCCCTGGAATGGTGCACCATTGCCCACAATATGCCACATACACATTTTTGTGTATAATTCCAGGGAGCCATGACTCCTAGGACAAACGACATGACCTTGGGGGCTTTCAGAGTCTAGGGGTACTTTATACAATGTTCAGTTTTGTGGAGAAAGGAAAAAAACCCCTCAGAAATCTCTGCAGTCCCTAGTGGGATAAAATTTCGTCCACATTTGACTGTTTGATCAGATTAACTGGCTCTCATTACCCACACAAAAACAAGGGCTGTGTCTCTGCCGAAATACAGTGTGCCTGTTCTCCTATCCCGGCACCCACAGTCCTGTGAGTGCCAGGCAGAGGGGGCCTTTTTTTTTTTTGGCATTGCAGAGTCAGCTCCAGGGCACAGAACTCATTCCTGAGTGGCCGGATCAGCAGCCGGGTTCACTCTCGGTCTGGCACACTGTAGCAGCTTCACTAAGTTAGAGCAAAAAAAAGAAAAGACTGCCAGCTAATGGGCTAGTGAGTATTTAGAGAGCTCTTTTAATCAGAGAAGCCAGGAAAGGCTACTCTGAATGTTCACCACAGATGCAATAGTGGGTGCAAAGGCCTGAGGCTTGGCGTGTTAGCAGGGCAGACAGACGGCCAGCGTGTCGGAAAGGAAGTGAGCAAGGAGGCAGTGAAGGTCTCGTACCGAGTGAGTTTCCGGAGATGAGCAGGACTGCCCTGAGACCTTTGTAAGCTATGGGCAGTGTTTGGGTTTCTCATGTGTGTCTGTGTGGGTGCTATAAAATATATATGACATAAAATGTCCCATCTCCGTCATTTTTAAGTGCCTGGTGTAGTGACACTAAATGCATTCACCTCTGTCCACACCCAGAACTATTTTGCCTTCCCCAACTGAACTCTGTACCTATCAAAACACTAACTGCCCGTGCTCGCTTCCCCTCAGCCTCTGGCAACTCTGTTCTACTTCAGTCTCTGAATTGCCCCACTCGAGGTACCTCATACAGGTGGAATCACATAGTATGTGTGTGTCTTTTTGTGTCTGGCTTAGTTCACTTAGTGAAACTTCTTCAAGGTTCATCCACATTGTAGCATCTGTCAGAATTTCCCTTTTTTTAGATTGAATAATCTATCCTGTATATATACCACATTTTGTTTATCCATTCATTCGGCGATGGACAGTTGGGTTACTTCCACCTTTTGGCAATTGGGATTGATGTTCTTATGAACATGGGTAGGCAAATGTCTGTATGAATTCCTGCTTTTAATTCTTTGGGCATCTACCTAGAAGAAGAATTGCTAGATGATATGATAATTCTATTTTTAACATTTTAAGAAACTACTATACTCTTTGGATTTATTTTTAAGTGCAATTTTAAACATCTGATTTATAG